GGGGGGGGGAGGGGGCGGGGGAAAGAGATGAATGCGTTGGAAAATGACAACTGACTGAAAAAGGCTGGAATGGAAAATATCAGTCTATTTTTGCTGCGGTAGTCACTGTGACTCCCATTGCAGTAATTTCTATTATTATTTTTTTTAATTTTAATGTATTAATTCTATAGTAAAAAGTGACAACATAATATCATCTATTAAGCTGTGACATCTACTTAAAATGTGTGCATTAGTCTTTTAGAGTCATTAGACACACATCTGCCATTTGATCAACTGCATAATAGCATCCCTAAAATAAAAGATTTCCTTCATTAATTATTTTACAAGATTCATATAGAGTGAAATGAAGCTGGTTTAAAACACCTTGAAAAATTGACAGGTTTACTGCCACCTACCTACAGAGATACAAGTTACATCTTAAGTTAAAGAAAAAAAACAAGTGGGTTTGTATCATTTGGTTACTTCCAGATGAGAGGAATCCCATGGTAAATTTTGTTTACTATCCTGGCTAGATCTCCACTGACTGCCAAGGAAGCCTACACTGACTGATGTAAAGCCTGTTTTGTAGAAGCTGACATTTAGCCAGCTGAACGCTCCTGTTTATCAACATACAATATGACAATGCATAAAGAAAGCTAATGGTTATAGGATCAAAAGTAGACATAAAATCAGTAGCTGATGTGATGCTCCTACAAATAAATCAAAATGTTACATTTAAAGTCTTACATGTATTTCTTGAGCAATAAACATAGACAGAAACATTTAAAGAGACAGTTTGTCAATATTTACACTAATAATATCAGTATACTGAACGTTTCCAACAACAGCTATAAATGAGCCTGGCTCTCCTACAAGTTTATGTGTGAATTAAATATAAACTTTAACCCATTTAGAAAATAAACTCATACTGGTTTGTTTATGGCTTCCTTCAGCAGTTTTGCAGTTTCTTCCCACTCATTTTGTTTGTTCTCTTCACAGACATTCAGTGGAGATCTTCCTTGTTGATCAGTAATGTGCTACAAACATAAACAGAAACACTAATAATACATTGTTTTCACAGGAGATAGGTATACATTTACAATTTTTTGAGATAATTTAAATCATTGATCCTAGGGTTCAAACATTTAATGGAAAGAATGGGAAAAGGAGAAGTAATGAAAAACATTTAACCTTTTTTGGTAATCTCTCAACAGGATAATTGTGTTTACACATTGTGATCTGGACACAAAATATTTCACATACACAAGCTAGAAACTGTTGCTAAAACTGTTATTTCTATATACAAACAGAACTTACTCTGTCAATTTCTGGATGATTTAGTAGAATTTGTACTATTTCAGCATGCCCACCTCCAGCAGCAAAATGAAGAGGAGAGCTAAGTTGGCCATTCAAAAGATTTGGATTGCATTTCCCTTTCTCCAACAGCATTCGAGTGGCTTCAACTTTTCCATACCTGCAGAACAGACGCAGCAAATGTAAAATAAAATCTTTTTTTTTTTTTTCAGATAGTCCTAAATATGGAAAAGTGTATTTCCATGCTTAAGATTTTTTAGTTTTGAAATTACACCAAAGACAGTGAAACATTAATAAGCTTGTAAAAATTAGTATCAGTTCTGCACTTCTTTGGTAACCACTGGTCTAGTAATCATTTATTGGACTCATTATAGACACACCAAACCTTGCTTTAAATTAGCAAAGTTTGGGTAGTTGTATTAATTCAGTCATGGCAAAACAGAGTTCAGCCTTGCCTGAAAAAAAAAAAAAAAAAAAAAAATCTGTGTGAGAATCAAAGTAAAGCTTTGGTTTGTCATGCAGATGGATCCTGAGGACTCTTAAGCCTCACACTGGTAACTGGTAAATCTTGTGTATCCTGTTTATGCAAACTTTCCGACAAACACTAAAATCAAGTAAGTGTTGGGGTTTTTTTAACTAAGTTCTAATATTATGTTAGTTACATTTTCATGTTATTCATATCATCAGATACTACTATAAATATGGAAGACTAACTTGCATAAAGACAAAATAAAAGCATTTTTACAACAGCTGAGGAAAGCTCTCAAGCACTTACAGATGAAATCATCACAGAATTATAGTCAGACAAGTTGACCTCTGTAGATCACCCAGTCCAGTTTCCTACTCAAAGCTCGGCCATCACCACCATGTGCTCAGCTCAGCTGTGCTGCAAAACTGCTCACAGTCTTTAACCAGCAAAGACTGTTAAAGTCACCATGCTAACCTAGACACAGTGTCTCCAACAGGAATTAGAACTGATGCTTCAGGACAGATAATGAGGCAATAGATAAGGGTTTGACAATATGATCTCCACACCTGGTCTCCTCTGAAACCATTCAGATCGAAATGATCACAAAACCTGAAGCAATCTTTCTCTTTGGAAGGTTAACACTAACATATATTAGAGTCAAAGTGTAAAAAGTGTAGAGTTTTTTTCTCATTTTTGAGTCTGCATAAGAAATTACATAAAAGATTAGCACTAAAGAATCATGATAGCAAGAATACATTTGATTGGAAAAACTATATTCATTTGACTCACCAGCATGCATAATGGATAGGTGCCCAGTGGTCGCTATCTAACTGATTAACAGAAAACTTTTTATCCAGAAGGTGGCTTAGTAAATCAGAGTCGCCTTCGCAAGCACTGCGGTGAAGAGGGAAATCATCTACCCACTGGTGTTCCCTATGAATTAAAAGGGGAAACAGGAGGAAAACACAATTCAGAAATATTTCAGTAGTTGGGAACATCAACTTTTTAAAAATTACTAACTTAGCACTAACTGTAGATCTACATGAAGAATAAAAATTAAACTCAGCTAAAATGTGACAATATTCATACAACTAGTATTTTAATCATGCAATAGTCAAGCCACAGCTGTATTCATTATGCTAAGATGCTTCCCTCATGTTTATAATTTAATACTTTCTTGATCTGTCCTTTAATTGTCATGTTTCAGTACTTAAGAGACTTCAAATTGAATTTTTTAAAATATGTATTTATATAGTAAAACCCTAAAGTAATAGGAATCTCATTCTGACCAAGTCTACCAAGTACTACTGTAATATAACAAAACAAAATTATCTGTTAATGAAAAAGGAATGTAACATAATACTTGTCCTCTGTGACACTGCTCATGCTACGTTGCCACTTTTCTCTTTTAGGAATCTGAATCTTTGAATAGTCTGGGGCTCCAAGGCCAAAGTATGGATTTATTACCACTTTGTCAACCTGCGAAGACATAATTTAAACACAACTGAACAAATACCTTACTGAGATTTGGCTGAACAATCCCCCATCCAGGCCAGATGTTCTCATGAAACTAAAGTTATGATAGTAACATTTTATAATTAAAGAGAATGAAGTTCAAATGTGAGGATTTGAAAAAAAAAATTAGCAGTAAGTGTGCAATAAAGAAATCTGATTATATTAAACATAAAGCACACACTCATATCAAATAAATGAATGAATTGTAAAATAAAAATGTATGTATGTTTCACAAATATATAATGAAAATACAGTTCTTACCCTATTGGTATACTGAAGGTCAGATCCAAACAAAGGATTATAGATACACATATCTGCTTTCTCCAATGCCAGCATTTTACTCTTTATTTCCAGGGCAGTATAACCCATGTGTAATGAGCTCTCTGTTTGGCCAGGTTCTATAGCATAGGCAGGGTTTATGACATTTGTTTTAATTCTCTCAAGAGGAGATGGTCTGAATAAAGCTGGGATGGAGTGAGACTGGGTATGCCGTTCATCCAACCACCTGCAGGAGAGAATGGGCAAGTCATTCATTTTCAGGTAGAAAAGAACTATTTTGGTCATGCCTGTTTGATAATCACACATTTTAAAAAAAAAATATTGTAATGTGCACAGCCAATTTTATATCACTAAATTAATCCCCAAACATGAAAATTTTTAAGCAAATATAGTTAAGCAAATGTATTTGCTCAAACACATTTCCTGCGGATGCAAACTCTCAAAGAAAAGGAAATTATAAGCTAAGGTAAGAGTTTAGAGCCAAAACACTTAACCACACCAACATGTCAGCATTTCATTTACTTTCAGTTTATCAGTATCGCTACTCTCAACATAAAAATTTTGAAACACAAGCAGTCTGTTTAAGAGTGAGTGGAAGTTTCAATATCTGTGCTGTCTTAAGCCTTCTAACTCATGTGTTTCATTAGGGAGAGGTAGGAAAAGGCAAAAAAAATCAGAAGATCCTTTGGTAGTTTCCAAACTACCAAGCCTCTTTCACACAGACCAGCACCTGCCTTTTCACAAAGCTGTGCTGAAGGTTATTCTCTTCTATATGCACTCCTACTGACAGTATAGAAGGGCTTTAGAGCCCTCTTACTCTGAGCTAGAGGGGAAAGTCATCACTGTACACCTGCTGCATTTTTTCCTGCCACATATGCAATTAACACAGGGCTCAGGATTTTTTGATAAATATATTTTCACTGAATTGCTAAATAATTTTAGTGTTATGTTGAATGGGGCGCATTTTATCTAAGAGTCTAAAGTCAGGTTTGTATTTAAGGTTTCTGCACATACTTTCTCACAAGCTTGAGATAAACATGTACTTTACTGGAATACAATAAATTATGTTTAGTGATTTAGCCTGGAAATATAGAAGAAAGATAAGTACATGCTTTGAAAAGATAGATCCACTGACAGACCGCTTGGATCCCGTCTGTCCCAGAACCACGTGTAAGGATGGCAGAATGTGGCCTGCAGTTCAATGCGTATGCTTAGGCCTGGATTTTTAAGTCCCATATCCAAGCTATCATGTGCTTCAAAAGCCGTGTTCTCTTCACTTATGCACTGTCCTGCTGGGAAGGAGGACTGTAAAATTGTGATCATCGTGCTATAAACACCCTCCTGCCTCTCTGAGGTATTTTCAGGCATTTTCTCCAAACAGTTGGCAGATAAATTAGTTATGGTAGTTTGAACCTTTGAAAAGTGTTGTTTCAGATAACATACGTAAAGAATAATCAATATAAACTATTTTCTACTCTAATTCCAAGGGTTCTCTCATAACTGTAAGGCTGGTAAAACATCTTAAGCAGAGCTTAGAGTCTGAAGGCACTCATTAAATAGCAAATAAATATAACAACTGGCACAATGGTATACTTGGAAATATTATGACTCTTCGAATAAACTGTAAAAACCCTACAAACAGAACCTGTTTAGGTAATAGCCTGTAACTTATAATTTTTCATGTTAGTCAAGAGTTTCACCTAACTTTATTAATGCAAATAATGTTCATACATAAGTAGGTCTGGTATGTCTTTGTTAAGGGTACATTAAAACAGACCAGAAAACTGCTCACATACTCAATTTTCAAACTACTATAAATCTGGCTAAACAGCTAATCACCTTTCTGAAAGTTAATTCCCTACTGCAAATAAATGTGTATGGCTGGGGAATATGCACTTCCTTTGTAAATGGAGGGTTAATTTAAATGCAAATCATAATGGTATACAATTAACAGGATATTTTTACTACACACTGGCAAATACTTACAGGTGGCAATTATGTCACTTATAGAAGATTAATCATTAGTATTTTATATGATTTTACAAAATCTTCGCTGTGAGCAAGAATTTCCAAGAAGACTTTTGCAAACTTCTTCAGTTTGCAAAATATTTTTAAAAATATTTAGAAATATGTTGTTAAGGTTTCAGTTTCTGATAAACATGAAGAAAATAACATGGTATCACAATGGTTTCCTTCTTAATCACAAGAATGCTATAAAAACTATGTGCTACATTTACAAATTTTCTTGTTTAACTTCTATTTTAATGTATTTTTACTGATGGCATGTCTTACTTATCCAAGGCAATTAACATTCTTGCAGTAAGTGTAGCAAAATGGGTGCTGGATTCACTGCAGACCCTCATGATGTCTTGTAAACAGTAGAACACAGGGCATCCAGGACTGTATGCGTATTTTGTATTATCTAAAAAGGAAACATACTCTGAAGACACATCAATGAGAAGAATCATCTTATTTTCCCTTCTGCATCTTCTGTAATTACACAGTACCAACTAATTGATAGCATAATCTAACTTTAGACTAGAGTAACTCATTTTTTTCCAAATGCTAATTGATAGAAATCACATACAATCCAGATGTAACAATTCACAACTCAACAGGGTAGCCTGAAAGTGTTCAGTTACTATTCCATCAGTGTGATCAGCTTCATCTGAGAAATTAATATTAAATGTATACTGTTGCCAGAAAAAAAGAATAGATAACTATTGGTAACTCCACAATGTTTTTTATTTGACAGGTTTTATCCTTAAGGCCTATCACTAAGGCAAAAATGAAGGAGCTTCCCCAAAACCACACAGACATTTACTTCAGGCTTTTTTAAAAAATACTTTCCTGACAGGCAATTTACTTTGCCTTCTAAAGACTTTATTCACCATTCCTTATTCAAACAAAACAATTTACAGATTTCAATAAGCATTCTTCTCTGAGTAAACAACACTGAACTGAATAGGATGTCTTATTTACGCTCGCATTAAGTAAATTCTAAACAAGTTAATGCATATGTTTTGAAATATAATCAAGTGAACAAATACAGCTTAAAACAGAAGTGTGCTATTGTTACAGAAACAAAGGCAATACATTAAAACCAAAGTTTTTAATTTTAAGTAATTTTTTCAAGTTTTAAAGTACTTAGAGAGAAGTTTCCATCTAAATGTTACTTTCAGTGTTTAAATACAGAAAAAGCCATACAGCATATTCATAAAAATACTTAATAAACCCTCAACTGAACTTCTGCTAAAATGGGTGCAACTTCAGAAATTATGCTCAACGTTACCTTTCACGACAGTTGGAACAATGTAAAGTGATGCCTCCTGGCCTGCCTTCTCACCATCAAGAGGAAACTTCTTCATTAACACTACGCGCTTTCCTAGCACAGTATTAAAAAAAAATAAAATAATAATTAACCAACAAAACAAACAAACAAAAAAAATCTAGAGTTGGCTATCTGAAAGCTTACCGACTCAACCTTCCTAATTTCTATGAAGAAAAAAAAATTATGCACTATTATATAAAGCAAGCTAAGAAAATCTAAATACATATGAAAAAATAAAGAACATAAATACATATGAAAAAATAAAGAACATAAATACATATATAGCCATTTACATGACAAATGACACGACTGTTTCCCTTTTTTCATAGAAACTTTTCTATAGCTCTGATTTTTTCATAGCATTCACCCCCTAAACCACCTATCTTTAAGTTAAACAAGATGCTTTTTGAAATAGGAAAGCATAGCTGCACGCTATATTCCACATTAGGGTGAATGCTTTATTCATGCAGTAGAAGGACAATATTTTCCATGTTATCCTCCCTTCTGCCTTTACAGAATTTAGCATTTTGTTTGCTTTTCTGACCTCAGCTGCATATCTTAGCAGTGGCCACACTAAGCTGTGCATATTAATGTTTGGGTCCTCCGTCTGAGTCAATTTAAAACTCCCTGAACTGTATAAGAAACATAGGTTTTGGTTTTACTAGGCATTCCTCAATGTGTATTAATGCTATGATGTTATTTCATGTTTGCCGCTTGACTAGCTTTGTTGAGTCCATCCAACTCCAGTTATTGCCACCAGCAACATTTTACCATGCAACCAGCTATTCCTTTTCTAAATTGTTAGCACCGCATTGTCTTGTCCACACTGACAACCTTCCCAGTATAACCTTACTTACAAAGCAGAGATGAGGTACACAGCAAAAAGAAAAGTGCTTTAGTCAGTATAGTTCAATCTGGAAATGAAATGTGCTGGCTAAAACAATTTTTGTCAGCACAAGCGAGAGGCTGTTTGCTAGACCCGTTATGCAACAATGAAAAAGAAAATGTACTAATCAAATTATATCTGTGATACAGTTATGCCAAAAATTTTCATGTAGATACTGTCTACTGAACAGTGCTGGCTTTAGAACAGACTTTAGAAGCGATCAATTCACTAGCTCAAGTCAAGTTTTAGCTGAAATTAAGGATAAAAAAGCCACTTCAATCTGATTTACCAGAAATTTAGCTATAAATCTCAATTTGAGGTGAAGAAGTAGTACAGGCACTTAATAAAAATCTTTTAGTAAGCATTTTATAGAGAGTTGGAAGGTAAAAGGAAACAAAGGTAAATTAAAGGTTTTAGCTGTATCGTTGGCTTGGGGTTTTTTGATGAACCTCAGAACACACCTTCTTTTTTTAAACTAATTTCATGCTTTTGCACAACCTTTCCATGCCCGTTTGATTTTAAAAATATTTTTATAGAGCCATCAACAATACATCAGATTAAAATGTTTGTACCTTTAATACCCTGATTGGCTGGTGAAATTGGTTTGGTGGCTTCTAATACATAATCCAAGATGCTCTGGGTTATCTCAGTGCCTCCCTGCAGTTTAGTTTCCAACAAAACTTTTTTTCTTTTTTTCTTTTGGCCTTCAATGGGAACTTCAAGCAACAAAATCTTTCAAACAACAAAGAAACCAAACAAGTTTAAGCACAACTGAAACAAGTACAGAACACTTTTTTAAAAAATTATTTATTTATTGTACCACTGTAAAAGCAGTAATAAAATTCAGGAAGTATTGAATGTGGAGGAGCAGGATGGCAAAGCCAGAATGACCTCCATAACAGTAAGGTTAAAGAGAATAAGCTGCACTCTTGCACTGAGCAGCCCACAGGGCAAAAGGCCCTGAAATGACATGCAACACACAAATATTACAAACCCATAAAGTTTTCAAATCCCATAAGGATGAGGCAATGCTTAGTAGATACATGACATACATAGACATTATTTAAGCAATGTTATTGTAATATTTTGTCTTCCGCTGTATTATATTTACTATATCTTATTATTTTTAAAA